AGCAAGAAGGAGGTAATTTACTTATCTTAAAGTTCTATGCTTAAGTTCATGCTTTGATAATGAGTTTAGATGTTTATAAGTATGTATATCATGATTGAGAAGTTAAATTTATAATTGATTACATGAATACAAAGAGTTAAAGTTGTTCAAGATCAATTATATGATATATGTGCTTGATTTGATGAGATGTTGATGAAGATAAGAATAAGCTTGAAAACTATGACTTAAATGAGTAATTCTTGTGTAAAAGAGGAGTACATGAGAACAAGAATTAAGTTATTTGGCAAAGTATAGCTTAAGTTATAGAGTTTTGAAGATAAACATGTATGCTGAATTTTTATGTTCACTATTTGAGTTTTGACTTTAAATTACAATAACTTGATGTATATGCATGCTTTAACTTGAGTTAAAATGATTAGAAGGCATATATGTAAAGATGAGTATATATGCAAGAATATTCATGATATGTTCAAATTGTTAAAGTGAGATTTCTATGAACTATTCTCATATAAGTGATGAGCAATTTGACAAAGTTTTAGTTTAATATGTTGAGTATACAATTTTATAAAGATTGTATTAAGTATGACATATTAATATCATGATTAAATGTTATGATTAAAAGTTGAGTATGACTTGAGTTTATTTTCACTTTCAAGTTAATTAAGTGAAAATTTAGTATAAGCCAATATCTAAAATTTGGGAGATATGATGTATGATGAATTAATTATTTGATTGAGTAAAAGATCAAGTTAAGTTAAGATGAGTTTATAAATCATATTGATGATGTTGGAAAAAGTTAAGCATGTTTTGAGTTTAAGCACTCAATCAAGTATAATGTGAAAAGTAGTTATTTTCACACTCGATTTATTTAAGTGACATGCGAATATACGCTAATATTTATGTTTTTGAAAACATGATTTATATGGGGTTAAGTAATTGACCTTGAGTAAAAGTTAAAAGAAAAGTTAAGTTAAGTATTAACTTGTGCAATAGCATGTCTATTGAATTTCTATAAGATTTGGATAAGTTAAGAATCCTAGTATCTTATTGAGTATACGAGCATAGTACTTAGTATATTTGTTTATATTTGATGTAACTTGCAGATACAATTACCAGTACAACACTTATCGTTATTCAAATGCTTTCAAAGATAAAAGGTGGGGACCCGGAGTGGGTATCACATTGAGTACGATATTGATGTCATATGGGATGAGGAGACCATCAGTTGTGTCAGAGTATATCCTAAAGTTTAAGTTTATACGGTTGGGATGAGGAGGCATTCAGTTGTCTCAGAGTATATCCTAAGTTCTGATGGAGGCCGTTTGAGTTGCCTTGAGAAATATCCATCAGAGTGTGCACACGTATCCGATCAAATATCGGAAGAGAAGAGAAAAGTTTAAGTTTCAGTACCAGAACAACTTTCTGGTTACCGATTAGATATCGGTTTATGATTATCTTTATTCGTTACTCATCCCCATAAGTTTATTTTCAGGTAACAGGTCGAAGAGGAGGTGTGAGTGGAGCAGTACTAGTGTGGATCGTGGATTCAGATTATGACAAGCTTTTATATGGACATTTATAACAGTTTGTATAATTAATCATGTTTTCATGTATTTCCGCTATGCACATTAAGTATTGAACTTGCCTTTTTAATAAATTTCAGATTTTAAGTTTTTACCATTTCGAGAAGTATGAATATGGTATAGTTAAATGCAAGTTTAAAGGAAATCTGTTTTCTTTATGTCTAGAGAAGTATTAGACAAGAGTTTAAAGATAAACGGATTTTCAAGAAGATGATGCTGAGTAGCATCCCGAGTTATTCGCAAAAAATTTCGAAAGATTTATAAATATTTTCTAAGTAAAAGATGCGAAAAAGTTACTCTGATAAGCGGGGTGTTACATTATTATTTGTGCAGGATTAATGAAATGCCTTCTAAATGCACTTACCTTGTGAAAAGGATTCAACCGCATGAGTAAGACATTCTATAATTGAAGGCGGCAAAATCAATCAAGAATTTTCCTTGTGGAGCATGGCTTGGCAACGAAAATCATTTTGACTTACCATATGTGGGCCGGTATATAAGCTTTAGGACATGGATGAAGAAAGCAGTTTTTGGATGATTATTATTTTTTTTTCTTTTTACTTTTGAAAATTGTTCTTGAGTGTTCGAATTATTCTTTGTGCGTTAAATTTTTATTGAGTGGTGAATTCCTTGATCACATCGAGAGATTATTTTTTATCTATTGAACTAAATGTACGGGAGGTTCACTTAGATTAGTTTGAGGGATTCAAACTAGAAAATCCACAAGGAATTTGTGGTCGGAAAAGTAATAGGATAGGTGATTATTTTAAAGGTAGTGGAGAGGGAGTCGATAATGTAAATCATTTGAGTAATGGTTGTAACATCTATCCTAATGAAAGAGTTCAGGAGGGAGAGCGGGATGCTCTCCTGAAGGTTCATGTTTTGTAGAACATTTGCTTCCGCAATTGTGTGAATGTACATTCAAATTTTACTACTTTACATACTTAGCGCAATTCTGGTAAATTGAGAATATTCCCCCACAACTTTAATCATAAATGGACTCGATGTACAATGTTTGTCCCATTTTTGTTGCATTTTTCTTTGTTATTTTGGCTTCATTTTTTCCCCATTTTATGCTGTTTCTTTGGTTTTTAGTTCTTTTTGTAGTTTATTGCATGTTTCCCTTTACTTTGTGTTTTTCTGTGTTTTCGTTTGTGTTTCTTTCTATTCTTCATTTTCTTGTAGTTTTTGGTGTGCAGGTCGAGATCTTTGGGTGGATAATATCTCCCGAATAAAATGGTCATGCATGAATAATTAACTAGAAGGATTCGTTGGTGGCGAATAGGAAAAAAACGGTAATCAATTCGGAGTTCGGACGAGCTCAAATGAGCCCGAAACGTAAAGTCGCACGTAGCAGCCCCAAACCTTGGCTGCCAGACCCGCGGCCCGCGACTTTCAATTTCTGCGGCCAGCGAAGTTTTCGCGGCCCGCGGAAGTGACAGAGCCTGGGAGCATCCCAGACGCCCTAGACCTACAACCAGCTACCAGACCCGCGGCTAGCGAAGTCAATTTTCCGCGGCCCGCGGATCGGCGCGACCAGATTTTAAAATTCGAGTTTTGGGTTGTTTTTCGAGGGCTATTTATTGGGAATCGTTCTTAGGGAAATATCGTTCACTCCAGTTTGTTTTTCCTTAATTTTTCTCCTTGGAAACTTGATTCTATCTTGGAGGGTGACACTCAAAGAACCGATTTGTAAATAGTTTCTTAGGGATTATTTTTCCATTTTTGTTTTTCTACCATGCTTGGATTGTCGGAAACAAAGACATTGGGATCAAATTCTTGCAAGTCCTAATCCGATTGTAAATTTTCAATTCTATTTTATTATTGTTGATTGGATTTATGTTCTTCAATCTAATTAACATGGAATTGAATCCAAGAATGAGGTAATTCGTTCACCTAGGGTTGACATTTTTCTTCTTCTCCCATGCTTCAGGACCGTTTCTTCAAGCTCCAAGAAAGATATGGCGTCGCGAACATAAATAGGATTGACATTCTCTTCATTTTATTCACATATCTCCACATCCAAGTGCCATCCGTACTCTTTTTAAACTCAACATAGTGACATACTTGTATCCACACCATCTTTGCTAAAATCAATATCTACAAGAAAAAAATATATGTTACTTCGATAAGATAAATGTGGAAACACATGTTACTAAAATAGGAGATAATATACAATGCTCTTAAGCTGACTCTTTAGTCATAACGAAAGTACATTCGTTATAAATAATCATCTGATAACGAATCTACATTCGTTATGAAATAATCAGATAACGAATCTACATTCTTTATGAGAAAATCATCAAATAACGAATGTGCATTCGTTATGAAACTGCATAACGACTGTGCATTCGTTATGCAAATAAAATGTAACATCATCTCAAAAAATGAAAATAAACATGAAAATATGAAACCAATATATTTATCAATCATAAAATATGAAACCAAAATGCATATCGAAGTAAAATAACTAAACTACATTGAGATATGTCATAACGAATCTACATTAGGATATGTCATAACGAAACTACATTCATTAGGTCATAACAAAACTACTTGTCATAACGAAACTACATTCGTTATGTCATAAGGAAACTGCATTGGGATATGTCATAATGAAACTACATTCGTTATGTTTTAACAAAACTACATTGGGATATGTCAAAATGAAACTACATTCGTTAGGTCATAACGAAACTGTATTAGGATATGTCATAACTAAAAACATTGGGATATGTCATAATGAAACTACATTCGTTATGAAATAATCATTAGATAACGAATCTACATTAGTTATGAAATAATTAGATAACGAATCCACATCCGTTATAAGATATTCTTAAGATAACAAATGTACAGCCGTTATGCAATTGCATAATGAATGTATATTCGTTATGTAAAACACCCTCTAAAAAATGAAAAAAATTAACATGAATGGCACAAAAACATGATAAATATGAAACCAACATGTTTATCAATCATAAAATATGAACCAAAATGCTTATCAAAGTAAAATAACAACAATCCCTACCCATGCTTTATCTCTAAAATAATAAATGCTTTTTTTTTTGTTCTTCTTCCCCATCACTATATTTCTTTTGCAATATGGAAGCCAAAGTTTATGTCTAATGATCAGATTTTGTTCTTACCGTTTCAAGAGAAGAGAGGATGGAACGAGAGAGATGAGCAGACGAGCAGAGCAGAGCTACGATTCGATCAATTCATATGATTTTTTTTATTACAAGGTTGGTACCACAAAATACAAGAAGGATATTATATCATTTAATATCTAAGATTCTTTTAGATATTTCAATTATTTATTTACTTTTATTTAATGAAAGGTTTATTTAGACAAAATTTTTTTCCAAAGGGTCATTTAAATAAATTGATGTTTTGACCCTCCCTTTAAATAAAGCCCCACCGTACATACATACCCAAGCTTTCCCCTAGGCGCGCCGTGTAGTGTACCGGTGTATGAGGAAAGAACAGTGATTCAAATAAATCCCCTTCCGAGTTCTACCGCTCTGCCAATTTGTCGTTACAGGACTGGAAAACGGAGATATCAAAAACTGCGCTGTAATGGAGTTTTCAACTTGCCCTATTTGTAATCTAAGTTTACCTTCAATCGAACTCCAGAGGTCACCTTTTTTCTACTTAATCCTATGCCCTCATTTTGTCATTATTTTGTTCATTGTACCATTTCAATTCCGCAGACATGCGAATGACCATTTCACTGAGGAAGATTATGCTACGGATTTCGAATTGGCGCAGCAAATTGCGCTTTTCCCGCCATCTCCACCCCGAATTGTATGCATTTGTGTATTGTCCTGCACTTTGGTTTGTTATTTCCGCTATTTTATTTTGTCAATTGAGGTTTGTTTAAGGTATAATGATTTTGAGTTTATAATGTATTATTGACAAAATTTGAAAAGAATGCCAGTTTTTGTCCTTGTGTTACCGAAAATTGCACCCTTGGTCGAAACCACATCCTATTTTGGCCGTAATACGCAAAACTTGTACTTTTCAAACACTAAGACAAATGGGTTAATAGTGAAATCAGGTATCGCTAACCGACATGTGTGATTATGTAAATTGAGATGCCTCTGCAAGTATCATATCTTTGAAAGTCATGTTTGTTCATTTTCAGGAAGTTACAAAATCTTGCATTGATCTAGCTACGAAAGGAATAAGCACCCTTGACATTATTTACCCCTTCACATGTTGCATCCTCTAGAATTGGATGTTTGGTAGGTTATTACAAACCTAAAACGTATGTTTTTAAGACTTTTCTTAGATTTTTGTAAACAATAGTAACCTAGCTTTCTGACACTTGGGATAAACATCAGAAGTAGTTTTGTAACTATTACTTGTTTAAGATACTTGTTCAGCAATTTACTCTTCACTTGTTTTGCATGATTCGACTATTGGTATATTCAGTATTAATAATACCACAATTCATTGGGTTCCCAGACAGGAGATTCCTTGAAATGCACACTTAGTTCATTGGATACCCCACAGTCCAGTTCGTATACATGTGATGCTAAGATAACTGGGTACGAAGTGCTCAATCACGATGAAAAACATGCTTCATTAGTCCACCCTAAGAATATGGAGAAATTCTACAAAGTCGAAGGCAAATTGATGACATTGCTGAAAAAATGCCTTGAAACAGAACCTGGAGACACTCTAAGCATACTGTGCGGGCATATTGATCATTTTGAAAGCATTAAGTCTTGGGACGGTGGCTGGGGATGTGGTTGGCGTAATATACAAATGCTTAGCTCTTATTTGCTTGCCCAAAGTGAAGAATCTCGAGGCGTATTGTATGGTGGTTGTCGGTTTGTGCCTAATATCCGTACAATTCAATCTTGGCTCGAACTCGCTTGGGGAAAGGGTTTCGATACGCGGGGCTCGGATGACTTCGATAAGAAAATTTATGGCAAGAGAAATTGGATAGGGACCACTGAGTGTGCCGCACTTTTTCGGTCCTTTGGTCTTCGTGCAAGGATAGTGGATTTTTGCAGTAAAAATTTCGAGTTTGGTGGTTTGGGAAGGAAAAATAAGCAGGTTTATGGCCCCATGGACGTGTTCCTGTCCAGAGGGAAAATGCGTTTGGATAAAAGCTCTAAGCATCATGATGTTTTGTCAGAGAAAGCAAAGTGTCATCAGGTTCTTACTGAGTGGGTGTGGAATTACTTTTCTGGCAGCAATGCACGCAGAACAGAAAATTGTCGTGTTGTTTTTAGTGAGAAATCGTAAGCAAATTGTAGTTACTTGTTCATATTAGACATGATTTATTTATTTACTTACATATATTTTATTTTTTATTTTTTTACGTCAATCTCACTTTCTCTGTATTTTTTGACCAGGCCATTGTACTTCCAGCATGATGGCCACTCGAGAACTATCGTAGGAATTCAAGCCAAGCATCTGAAAAATAGGACGAAGCAGTACAACTTGTTAATTTTAGAACCTTCTGATGTAAGCATATTCCTTTTCCACCTATGTGGCATAGTTAATGTACAACTCCTTAGCTTGTAGAATACCAAGTGCCCAAATTTCATCTGTTTACATTTAGCTTGAATAATTTTTACAAGCTATGTAGTTTTGTAAATTTCTGGAAGTAGGTGAACCAGTTAAGCCTCAATGAACTTGTATATTTTCAATCAGCTGCATTAGTTTCATTTTCTTATTGAATATTAATAACATTACTCTTACTAATCAGTGTTAAATGTCCGCATGAAGTTTTATGTAACTGTGGCTGATAGACTTAGTGAGGTTAGTCAGTTTCCGGTCTTGATTTAGTTAGTTAGTTCCATGATTGATCTCTAGAACAGCAGTGAAGGAAACATAAATTTCTGCTGCTTTCTTGAGTTTCTGAAGTAGTTTTTTTTTGTGCTAATCCTCTAATATTTTGTTATTAGGATTTTTCATCTCAGTTTGGTGCCTTTTAATGATAAAAAAGTTTGAAACATGGCCTTAGCTTGATATTTTAGCTCAAGTTGGCTAATTTAGCTGGGCAAACTGCGAATGCTGTTTAGTCCGAGCTCTCTAGCAGCCTTGTGATTTTTTATTTATTCTCTAGCAGCCTTGTGATTTTAGCTTAGTCGCCATGTTCTCAGAATAGAGCCAATATATACCGGCGTTTTGACTTCCAAATCATTTGTTTTCAGAAAACCAGAGTTCTTGAAAAATCTCTCATTGAGAAGTCTGGATGGCAGAAATTCATAAAGAGAGGTGTCCACACACTAAAAAAGCCACTGTATCAGGTAATGCGGTTTTTTTCTTGATGCATCTCTTTTTCATTGTAATTCTTATAGATTGTCGACATGTGTTTTGCCTGTCAGGTGTGTTATGTTGATCCTGGAATTGCTCGTGGGGAAGAGTTGGAGAGGCTGAAGACCATAAATAGCTCCCGTTGCGAATTTTAGACCAACATAATTGTGTAATTCTATTTCATGGGTAAATTGATCTTCATTCAACACAATTTCATTAACAGAACCGTGTTTCCATAAGGATTCAGGGATTTTTGTTAGTATCTTTAGGTTAGTACTTGTGCAGTTTATCTGTCTGTGCACATAAACTAGAAAGATGTGCTGTTACAAGTTTGAAATGGTGAATTAAGTTATTTATTTATTTTGCTTAGTCTCTGGATTCGAAAGTAAAATTTGTCGGTATCCCTGGATGTCAGGGTCATTTTGAAACAATTCCTTCAAAAAAATTGTAATCAACCATAGACAAGCTTGAATTCAACCGTGAAATTGGTCCAGAAAAACGATAACATTTCTAGGTTTCCCTGGATGTCAGGGTCATTTTGAAACAATTCCTTCAAAAAATGTCATCTACCATAGACAAGCTTGAATTGGACATACTTATGTATCAGTTATAGTTTCATTAACTTAAACGATTGGCTTTGCCTGTCAATCAGTTTAAAGTTGGTTAGTGATTCTAGATTAACTTAAAGAATGGGCTATTGATTGTACTTACAACCTAATTGAAGTAGATAGTTGAGAAAATTACACCTGCCATGAGGTAATCTCATTTATATTGCACGCATACAAAATCCCATCTTTTATTTGCAGTATTACGAGAAATAGTTGATACATAATTTATAGTAACCTTTTTCTTTAGGAGTAATTTATAGTAACTTTTTTCTCTCTCCTAAAGTCAACCGTTCCCATATTTTTTGTAACCTCTTTCTCTCTCCTCGCCATTATCCTTTCGAGAAGAAAGCTTCTTCTTCCGAGAAGAAAATAATTCTCTCTTCATCTCCGGCAAGCCACCCGCCGCAAGAGCATCCAATTTCGGCGAGTTCGAACTCACACCGCCTGGCAACCGTATGCCTGACCCTCCCCGACGAGCCTCATCCTCCACTGAGCACAACCACCAGCCTTGTCCGGCTTTTCGCAAAACAGGCCAGCGACCCGCGATTTCCGACCAACATCCGACGCCTGGATCTGGTATTATTTTTTAGTATATGTTCTGTATATGTTCGGTATATATCATGAATCAGTCTGCTCGTATATATTACGTATAAGTTCGAAAAAACTCCGATGAATCAGTCTGCTCGTATATATTACGTATATGTTCGAGTGCTTGTAGCACGCAGAAACTTCATCTTGTGAATCGTAAACATACTCTATATCTCAAAGTCGGGGTTCTTTTACTGTATTTTGAGAGAGAGATAATACGTTTGAATTTCAAATCAAACTAGTCTCCATTCTGATAAGAACAATCGCCTAATAAATAATATATATTCACTTACCTTGTTTTTCTTTTCTTTTTCTTCAGTTAATTCATATACATGTGCGTGATTTTAGGAAGCTCCTGTGGTAACGCATGTTTTTATTTCCTCCACAAATAAAAGCAATTCAATTTGGTATGGATGCTATTAAAATCAGATATCTCGAACACATGCAATTTTTTAATTTTCATGTGGGAAGTAAAAAAAATTGTCCTAGATATTTACATACTTATGTATCAGTTATAGTTTCATTAGTTGATTGAAATGGATTTTTGCATACATGTGTTCAATATATAAATGATAATAATATAATATACTGTGTATATCATTGCAATTTATTATTATTTACTTTTATATTTTGAATCTGACTATACGGATTTGGTACATTGTGGTGTTACAAAACTTTAATTCGCTCTATGAAAGTTCACTTTTTCCAGTCTTTTGACAACAAAATTTAGGCCAAATAGCTCGTTATATCACGACCTTTTACTAAATTGTTAAAATATCACAACTTTTGGACATTGGCGGAGAATATTCACAATCTTTGAATTCTTTGCAAAACGATACACAGAAGTCAGAAGCCGGCTATCGGTGCTTACGTGTCCGGCTAACCTTTTATTACGTAGAATTAAAAATCTGATTGTGTAAAATTTAATCTGACGTGGATGTTTGTAACGCCCCGTTTTATTTTAAAAGATTTACCGAATTTATTTATAAAAATCAGAATTTATTTTTCGCGAAATCCCAATTTAAACTTTAATATTTAACGGGGGCTACTTAAACAACTAAAACAAATAAACATTTACACAGATACAATCCAACAGCTCAAAACAAAATCCCAAGTTATCCATAAACTTCAAACCAGTCATGCATAAACAAATACTTCAACATGATTCAATAGTCTAATCAACAGGTTCGAAATAAATAAAGCGGAAACATAATTATTCAAAGTTGGACAAATGGTTTATCGAGATAATAGAAAGCAAAGTGGAAGCAAGTAACACACAATCCAACGACCACCACTCGATCGTCTCTCGCTGCCGCCGCCAACCATGCTCAACCTAAAAGATAGGAAGAGGAACAAGAGGACAGAAAAGTAAATGGGGGTGAGTACAACCATCATACTCACCATTACCGCACAGTATATTTCGCATAAAGATCCATAACCATAAATAATGTATGCATAGAATCCAGATCTAACTTCCTATTAGGCCCTATCGCAAACCTCCTATGTACATACAACAAACCTCCCGACCAGACATCGGCGAGGATGTAACTGGAAGCACTCCCACCCTGGATGCAACGGGCGTAGGATCTTACCAGGAGACAGTGAAGTTGAATTACCCCTCCGCTCTACACGGATTCGGGCGTCCAGACAATCCCCTCCGCTCTACACGGATTCGGGCGCCCACCTCCCGGATGCAACGGGCAGGTGACTTTTACTGATTATGCATTCGTCAAAGGCACTACCATTAAGATACTTAGACTAGGGTTCTCATGCATACAAAAACTATCGCGACAAACATTTATACGAAATAACAAGTGCGATAAATGTAGACTCAACATAAATGAACCCACCTGGTAGCGATCAGAATAAACACAAAATAAGGGTAGGCGGCGAGGTCGACTCGTTAAACAGCTACATTTAGTAAAATAGCCTTATCAAAGACTATTCTACAATCACTAAGTCTAACTAAGATCACGTAATCATTTAAGCACGCATTAAAACAAGGGAAAACACATTTTCGAAGATATCACATAAGTTTTGAAAACTTGACCCGGCAGCATTTTTAAAACCAACATAAGTTTTAGCACACAACTCGTATGAACGCAAATCAAATTGCATTGGAATCCTAAGAGATGAATCTACAATTCTAATGAAGGCACTGAAAGCAAACAAGGTCATTTAACAGGTAATAAATCAACAAACATTAAAATTTGAGTCACAGTCCAAAACTGGGAAAAAAAAACTTGATCGGACTTTAGTAATTACCATATAACTGGAGCTACAGACATGCTATTAATGAAATTCAAAACCCACATGATAGGCAACTCCATTATCTACAACTTTTGTGAAGATCACATTGGCACATAATTACATTATAAATGAGTTTAAACACAAAACATGTGATTCAGTGAACCTATCAGGATCTAATATATGACATGGACAGCACCTCAGTTTTTAACACTTATCTCGAGCTACAGACCTCTAAATGACATGGTTAAAATCTAAAATTAAACCTTAAGAATGCCGCTACAACTTTTATTTATAACACATAATCATATGAGATCATTAAAATGGTGAAAAATCGGTTAACATTCAGTTTCAGATTTCGGCCAACATGATAATTCCTAACCCATGCACATCTAACTTCAAAAAATCATTACTCGAGCCACAGAGCAAATATCAATATGAAATTTATCTCATTTGAAAGGTAAAAGAACTATCTATAAATTGCATGAAGAGTGTAAGTTCATAAGAGCACATTTTGACATGAAAAACAGACCAAACATTAAATCCAATTTTGCTGCCGGGTACGGAAAAACTGGAAGTACAATAAATCTTGAAAAAATCATAACTCTTTCGATATAGATCGGACTTGAGAAATTCAAAAGCCCAGATTTAGTAAACTGAAAACACTACAATTCTCATGAAGGTCAAGAATTCAAATACTCAGTCTAAGATGGCTCAAACTGCAGCACAACAGAACAGTGAAAACTTGACTTCACATAAAATGACAATCATATTCATTTTGGATGTTCGAATTTCAAGCTCGGTTCATAAGAAGCCTCGACAACACGGAATATTATATTTACAGCAGCAAACAATGAAGGATTTCAAAATATCGAACGATATTTGATAATTATTAAACGACAAATTATCAGAATCGAACATATAGGATCACCGAACATAAAATTCACCGAACATAAAATCACGAAATAACACGTAATAAAATAACGAGAGATCGAGACTCATTACCGATCTCAAGAAAGATGTTCGGAAACAGAACGAAAAGACGAGCGGCAATCGGCTCGACGGAGGTGATGACGGAAGAGGGCTCGAGCTCGCGGGACGGGGACGCAACGGTGGTCGGGGGTTACTGTCGGTGGCCGTGAGTCGCTGTCGCATGGAGGCTGACGGTGAGGGGCTCGTGGCGGCTGGATGCTGCGAGCAGGTGGAAGAGCGCGGGCGGTGGCGGCTTTTCCCGGCGGTTCTCGCGTGGTGGCAGCGGAAGTCCCGGCGAGATGGTGACGATTTATATGGCGATCTCCGGCGAACAGAAATGAGAAAAGGGGCGAGAGGCAAGAGAGAATTGGAGAAGAAAAGAGTGTTTGAGAGAAAGAGGGAAGGTTGACGTGAAAAAGAAGAAGAAGGGGTTGAGGGGCCTTAAAACCAAGTCTTGTAACTTCCAAACAAGAATTATGGTATTTGGCAAGAAAAGGGGAATAGGGATCAACATTTAAATTTCCAAACATTCAAATGAGGTTCATGCATGCGTGAGGGATTTAATTTCCATTTGAGTTCAAAATCCCAAAGATTAAAAACTCATGCATAAAATGTAACGAGTGGCGACGGGTTTTGGGCGTGAAAACGAGTCGGGCTGGGAAGAATGGGGGGGTTCGGTGGCCCGGTTCAATAATTTAATACGGATATTCGCTCGGTTCGAAGTCTCGATTATTTAAGATTTTCGGTTCGACCGCAAATAAAATAAATAATACTATTCGGTTCGACATTACATTTAATACAATTCAGCAATTACGAGCATATAAATGAAATAAAATTATCGAACCCGAATAATTAATTTGGAAAATAAAATAAATGTCAAATAATAATATTCAATTATTCTGGGACAAATGGGGCGCTACAATCTACCCACCTTAAAAGGAATTCCGACCTCGGAATTCGAAGACAAAAGAAAACTAACGAA